GAAAGAGAGAGAGAGAGAGAGAGAGAGAGAGAGAGAGAGAGAGAGAGAGAGAGAGAGAGAGGAAAAATTAAAAAGTTCAGAGCAGTGAAATGTCATCAAGCGCTTCGCTGCTCGCTTCATTCCCGCAAGTTCTCGCCATATACTTTCTCTCCTCGCGGTAAGAAAGAACGAACCGTACGAACTCGCGACACTTTCACTTTCTTTTCATATGTAATTATATAGAGCGAAGATGAGTTGTGAAAAGGCGTGATTTATTCAATATCTCCCGTGTACAATCGTATCCCTTATACCTTTTTTTCTTTTTCTTCTCCACCTTCTCTTATAACTTTCTTTCTCGCTTAAACAACACAGTCTTGACACTTCTCAGCCGGAGAACAGCGCGACAGTTGTACACCTTAATATTCCGCACATACACACACACACACACACACACGCGCGCGCGCGCGCGCGCATGCATACACAACGCAGACACACGCATAAGTACACACCCACATATACACAATTATCACGATTACATATTTATACGTATAAATCACAATCCGCAAATTCCTCCCTCCCCGCGTTTTCTTTCACTACCCCCCCCCCCCCCTCCTTCCTTCTCATTTTGTTTCGTCAACACGATTGCACTTAAATCGTCGTTAGTTATACCATCTACATAATATTGTACAGCGAAGAAATCCCCGCGTTTCGCGCCAAGTTCGCGAAATTCGCACCTCGTGCTCGACGAGCGTAGATCCCCCTCCCCCACCTCCCTTCCCTCTTCCCTTCTTGCACGCTCGCGGTGTACAACTCCCAGATCTGCTGAGGTTACAAACCGGTGCGCGCTTGAACCAAATACTCTCTTCTACCTTGTTGAACTTGCTTTTAAATGAAAAAAAAAAAAAATATGTACACTCAGACAGTCGTCCGTCCGTGCAAATAAATTTGTGCCTGTGATAACGAGAGATTTGCTTGAACGATATGCGTTACGTAGCAGACTATTATGTAATAAGGGTTGCGGCGGAAGGAGCAGCCCGAAGGAAGGGTGGGACGCCGCGCGGGCTGCGACAAGCGGGATAGAGTTTACCGAGGGGGGGATCGGTAGTTGCCGCGTTGCTATTCGCTTCCGCATATCGCGTATAAATTTCAAATAAACCTCGGTAAGGCAGTGCCAGCGCGATGATACACATACGGTGGTGGCGGCGGGCCGGAGAAGTGTCTCTGATGCTGATGAGGCAGCGACGATCGATGCGGCTCGATGTTGCCGCTCGACGGTGAGAGGTGCGGCGGCATCAGGTGCGACGTACCGTCACCGAGATCCAATTCCAATTCCTGCTCCTCTATCAGATGCAGGGCGCCGAAGGAGGCCGTAGCCATCGCCACGTCCGGCATCACGCCCGACAATTGGCCGTCGCTGCAGGAATTGCCCTCCTGTTGCTGGAAACCAGTCAAATGGAGATATATATATATCGGTGTGTGTCTATCCTTGCACAATCTGATTCTAGAAAGCGCCGTAATTAGGAAAGCAAGGGAGGGAGAGAGAGTGAGAGATCGTAAAGCAATCGTTTCCGATATATAAAAACACCGGGCGAGACTCGCGCATTACCGCGCGAAAGCGATAACGTCACTGTGTAACAATTTTAGTTGCGCCAAACGGTTCGGATTGAATAAGCTCGGTGGTTTTTAGTAGTTCGCTGCGCGTCCCTCTCTCCTTCTCTCTCGCTTTCTCGATTAAAGTCCCACGCGACTACACAGTACAGAAGGAAATTTAATTAAGCTAGTTGGACTCCCGTGCGAGAGAGAGAGTGGGGGGAGAGAGGGGGGAAGGAGGGAGCAATCTGGCGTAAACGCAAGATTAAAGTTTCGCCGAGTTGTATTCGCGCGCTCGCGGCGATATTGCGAGCGTGTATCGTCGCCCGTCTCTTACCTCGGCAAGAAGCCTGCAGCTCTCTCCCTCGGTCACTATAGCTGGAAGTTCGTGCCTATGTGCGTAAGACGAAGTCGGCCGGGGAAATGTCATGTTCCTCCCGTAACACACCGGGGCGGTAGTTCTCACACGAATACCCATGCCCGGCGAGTCAATGTCCTCTATATCAGTCATCCTCGGCTCGTTTTGCTCTTTCATACTGTAAGACGCTGTGTTCTGAAAATCGATACATACCGGCGATTTATCGCGCGCTGTCTCTCTCTCTCTCCCTCTCTCTTTCTCTCTCCCTCTCTCTAAATGAAAAATGCATTAAAAGCTCGGGGGAAGATGATACGTGAGGATGGATCGCGCGGATTAGCGAAGAGCGAATTCACAGGGGGAGAAGACGTGTTTGCAGGGAATGGAGGGAGGGAGGAGTACGGGGAACGTTGATCGTTGATTTATTCTAAGCGAATCGAGTGTGAATCCGAATAAAAAACAGGGCTAATGATGTAAGTGGATGACGCGCGAGGGAAAATTGGAGTCGATTGACGCGCCGCGGCGTCGCGAGTGCGGGGGAAACAGAATTGATAGAAATAAATCTCCGTCGGAGGGCCCTCCTTTTCCCTTCCGCTACCGAAATAGAACGAGCCGTGACCCAATTGACACATGTGTCGCGAGTGTGGAAGAACGTTTACGTGACGAGAGTGTGCGTGAGAGCGCGTATCGCGCGTACGGCATACGCCGCAAATTAGCAAAGCGTCATACGAGCGATACGGCATGAGTGCGTACACGCTGCGTTTAAAAAAAAAACTGCTGGAACATTTCTTTTGGATGCAATTCGGAACGCGAGCGACAGCCTAATGAGAGAATTGAACTTCTGGCCAGTGTTTGCCTGAGATGACTTTAGATTCACCTAGACGAAGATGAGATGAAAACCTGAAACATTCATCTTAGATGAGATGAAGACGATTTTTCTTTCGACCTATCTAAATGGAAGATAAGTAGTGCTACTTGCCTAGATAATTTTTTAGATAATGTTGCTTTCATGAGAGACTTTATAAAAATGTATAATAAAAATTACGTAGATCATGATCTATTTATTCATCTGGATAATTATTTAATTAATTTTATCGAGATACCGGCAAACACTGAATATATCATATAATGTAGAAAAATATATCATATAACAATGTTTTTTGAACACGATTTCGCTGCTTCTATCTATCTTGATTTTCCGCCGTGACATCGATATATCCTGAATATAATTGACGCACACTATTGGGTTTTAATACATTTCAATACCGTGCGTTTCTCACATAGATATTTCACTTCATGCTGGACATTCTCGGGATAAAAATTCAAACGGAGTGACAAATCGATGACGAATGTCCCCGACGAGCGGTTCATCGATGTGCAAAACGATTATAAGTTTTCCTCGCGAATCGATCTCGTAGTCGTGAGTCATTCGAAAAAAAAAGTAAACAGTACGGCACGTGTGTTATGAACTTGCGGGATGACGAGATCCTTTTCGATGTCGCATCAGCCAAATGATTCGCGGAAAAAAACGACTCCTCCTAATGGCAGCAAGTATAACAATCACCAAAGTTCTCCTGGTACGTACGATAATATCGTTGTTTTGTCATGTTGAAGATGTTACATCATCGCAAGCGGTGTTCGCGATAATGCACTATATACACAGGCTGAATAAACGAGTCTCAAGGCGCTTAACTTTAAACTGTATAGCGTTTCACATTTGCAAATACGTAAATGGAGTGCTGATTTTTGTCATAGCGAAATTACATAAATTGCAAATGTTTGAACAATAAAGAAATACAACAACTACGTACGTGGCAAACAATGTAAGCGATAATTTGCAAGTTATTCAAGGAGGTTTAAGCGTTGATCTTTAATTAATGGAGTATTTTATTAAGAAAATTATAAAATAAACCTGTACATATCATGTGTTAAATGATCATTTTGTATTTTAAAAGTTACCAAATATTTAAAAAGGCCAAAATGAAAATTGAATAAAGGACTCATTTGATGTAAAAGTAAATAAATGTAAGCACCAATTTGATGGAAATGTAAGTACCAATAGTAAAAGAAGAAATGTGAACATGAAATATATACAATTGTAATTGTATTTGATAAAATAACAAACCGTAATTATACATATTATTAGTACAGATAGAGTTGAATATTTTAAAAAATATATAATATTACAATAACATTAAATAATATTATTTTTTTAATATTATTATAGTGATAGACATATAACCACTTTTAATATTCCAGAAATATTACTTAATATTAAACAATATTACGCGCTTATAAGATACTCTCAAATGATCTTTTTTCCTTTCACAGTAACGTTCCTCTTTCGGGCAGCTAGAGAACAATTTCAGATGCAGTCAGTGTGCATATGCATAATGTTTCAGTGTCCTTTTACGCACTACGTCAAGCTGCAGTGATGCAACACGCCATTGGTATTTAATAATACACGCGCATCTGCATTTATTAATGCATAATGTCGTATATATCAACTACAATATATTGCTGTATCTCATCTTGCTAGTAATAGTACCGCGTTACTCCCCTCCTGTATAATAACACGCGTCTTATAAGCCTTATTCAACATGATGATGCGAAATATCGCGATAAAATGGTGTTTTTGGTAAATACTATTTTTAAAATAACGCGATTCGCCACGCCGTTCTTGAAGTTTTTTCAACAGCAGGACCGCCGGTGTTACGCATGAGAAATCTAACGCATTAGTAATAAGGAGAAAAAATAACAGGTGAGTGAGAGCTGACGTGGGTATGTTGTTGAACGTTGCGGACGAACGTTGCAGTTCGATTATTTTAAATTATCGCCTATGCGACACGTTTTACATGTTGTGTCGGTGTAAAGTTAACTTCATTGGGGAGGGTCCAAGATTGCAGTCAAAACTTTCGGTTATTGTTACGATATGAAGCTCTCTGTGATATTACCAAAGGCAATAATGAAAAAGTATCAAACCACACTTTCATTAGTTTATCAGGCTCCTATCATGACGATACGTGTATGCGTGACAAAACGTGACAACGATCGTGTTAATAATTTTTAACTGTATTAGCGATAAGTATTATGATTATTAAAACGAAACTTCCGATTACAGGTGATTACATCGTTTACATTATGTTTATTATACATCGTAAATATTTACGAACTCATCTCTTACTTTGAAGAACAGGAAGGTCTATCCTTCACGACACGAGAGAATTCCAGTGAATTCACCTCGATTTATTCACCTGTCCTTTTTTGTAGATTATCAAGAGAACATTACAACAAGAAAACGAGTGGGGAGAGTCGAGGAGGTCGAGAGACTTTGTTCGTCGCGTCTCTTCGAAATCGTGATTTCACGGTGAGCAAAACGCTTCTGCGGACTCGTTTGCATCTCATTGCATTAAAACAACGACATGCAACATCGTTCGTTGAAACATGTGATGTTAAATATTACATATCGTCATTTTGTCCTTCAGCATGCGTGTATATATATATATATGCAGAATGTCCCAAACTAATCTCGGATGTCCTAAACCAATTCCCGTGGTGTGCAAATAGAACGGGTGAAACTGAGCAGAAAAGTCCTATATCATTTTGCAAATAACACGCAAAATTTCGAATTATCAATGATTGAAAATGGCCATATACAGAGGTTTCTTTAATTAATAACTCAACAATTTGGGTGTTAATTGCAAAATGGTAAGACTTTTTTATTCCGAATAGTTTAATCTACAAGTATACGACAACTATTGTACCTAAGGACAAGTTCAAGGTTCAAGGGTCAAAGTTCCATATACTGATGTCTGTCGTTTAGGTACAACAATATATATATATATATATATATGTATATATGTATTTCTTCTCCCCTTCTTCCCTCCCTTTGATTAATGTCTAATTCGACGTCGTGTTTAAAGACACCGATGAACAGCGAGCGAGCGGTAAAAAAAAGGGGAGAGTCGGTGAAGTCAGAAAGTCAAAAAGCGACCGAAAGCGGCCTCCTCGCGAGGAACGCGTTACGTCAGAGATTTCCGCTCCGTACAACCACGCGGCGCGCTGCACCGATGCATAGAGCGAGCGTCGCAAAAAAGGCGTTCGCCGCGCTCTGTGTTTGCAGCCGCTCGTTTCGTTTGATCGCAAAGTACGTGCGCTTCGCGAGTCACGCGCAACCACTTCGGCTCTACGTGTCACGCCGCGTATCATCATCGACAAACGCGCTCAGCACTTCCGACGCTTCCCACTCCGCCGCGGGTGCTGAGGTAAATAATATAATTGCAGGCATTTCTTTTAAGTAAACGAAGGTAAGTTTAAGGTGAGACAGTGATTTTTAAGATAAAATCCGATCGAATCGGCCGAAACTCAAGAGCGCCGATGACTGGTCATCGATACGTGCGACCCAGTAAACAAGAAATCGTTAACACAACGATGATTGTTTATAACACCATAACGTTTTCAAATACGTAGTTCTTAACGTTGCATACAACGTCACTGTTAACGATATTTGACTAAAACATTAGAAATAATGTTTCTACACTATAATTTTGATATTTAAGTATATAACATTATTAAGTTTAAAAACGATTATAAAATATTATGTCGATATGTAAAATCCATATAAAATCGATGTTTTAAAAGATGGTTTAATGTCTCTTGTTTACTGGGGACGAGCTATTTTTATTCGAAAACTCGTTATCGCCGCAAACGACATTTTACATTCGTAAAATTCCGTCGGAAATGAATGCATTTATGTCCGCACCGTCATTCACAAAATTACACGTACAACGAGCACTTTTCAACGAGTCGATTTTCCAATTCGTCAGTCTCATCAGATTGTCATTCGAGTGAGCCAAAGTTGCAACGTTTTTGTACTGAGATGTAAGTACGATCGCGGTCGAACTCAATACACGCAGTGTCGGATGAGAGTGGCGAGAGTCATCGTTTTATTTGCGAATGTACAGACGTATCGAGCTAATCGCAAAGTCCGGAGCGTTAAATAAGATATCAAGGCTTGCCAAAAGCAAAATGGCCTCGGCCTCTGCGCGAATCTCGGCGTGCCGCGTTATTCGCGCCCACTATCCACTGTGCTTGAAATGCAATTGTACACCGAAGGGAAAAATATCTAAAAATTAAAATTATTTATTCGTGGTTACTAATATGTTTATATTTATGTATCATTTATTACAATAATATAT